TTGTGGCCTACTTGCCTAGTAAAATAAGTAGCTACTACTACTACTATATGAAAGATAAATACTAACAAGTTTGTTTGAAATTTTTAAATAATTATTATTTCGTATTTTTGCTCTAAAGTATATTATTATAGTAGGTACGAGAAAAATAAATGTGCACTAATATGGATAGGAATCCCCGAAAACGTCTAGGATATGCCAAACACCCCTTAGCACCCCCTGGCTACGACTTCGTACCGTACAATAATGTAATTTAAATCTATAGTAATAATTATCATTTTAAGAGTTGTGATTTATACTTTAAAAATTACTGCGATAAATTTGAGTTTATTCTATTTATAAATTTCTTTATATTTTAGTATTCTTTTTATAAAAATATCTATGTTGTGGTTGCAGTCAGTGACCTCACATAAACTAGGAAACGCCAAATCAATTTAAATGAAAAATTGTGCACAGTTTTTATATGTCAAATCACAATGCAAAAGCACTGATTAATTTACACAGACGAAATATATATACAGTGTGGAAATTAAGTAACGCATAAATTCAGTAATTCCGTTGATATTAATTTTTTTGGAAAAAAATCTCGAAGGGGTATAGCGATTTTAACTTCAGCAAATACTTTCAGTCTATTTTCAGTTTCTTATGTCATTTATTTTTAAGTTATGACGTCATCGACTTTTTTTTTAAATGACGATCTATATTTTTTATTATCGATTTTGATAGTAGATTTTATTCCGGTTCCGACCGTATAAAATTTTCAATATGTTATTATTTGAAAAAAATCGAGAAAAACAGTCTTAAAGTTCAAATAATAAAAATTCATTAAATTGGGTAAATTTATCTAGTTGCCGGTGTATCACGTTAGTTACGGCTGTCAGAGTTACACAATTTGTAAATATCACAATAGAATTTATTATTTTGCTTTTTCTAAATTAGAAAAACTATTTTATTAATAAAAATGGTACAATTGAGCGACAAACAGAGAATTAAAGTGTTAATAATGATTGGTTATAGCGACAGAGCTAGAACACATCAAGAAGTGTGTCATATTTTTAGAGAAAAATACCAGGATCAGCCCATAAATCAATCATCAATTAGTATGATTGAAAAAAATTTCGGGAACATGGCGTTGTAAAGAATCTTCCAAAAACTGGACGTCCGGCGACATTAAATGAAGATGCACAACTTGATGTGCTACTAGAAATTGAAAACAATCCACATTGAACTAGTAGAAGCATTGCTTTGAACCACAATATAAGCCACACTACAGTTCTAAAACTTTGAAAGTTCAAAAATTCCACCCATATAAAGTGCGCTTGATTCATGAGTTGACAGAAGACGACTTTGATCGTATGCAAGAGTTTTGTGACCAAATGATGGAAATTTGCAACCGCGATCCAATGTTTTCCCAGCGTGTTTTATTTTCGAATGAAGCAACATTTTGTTTAAATGGCCATGTCAATATACAGAATTGTAGATATTGGGCTAGGGACTATCTCCATTAGATACAAGAAAGTCTTACCCAATATCCTCAGAAAGTTAATGTTTGGGCAGGAATTATTGGTGACAGAATTATAGGTCCATTCTTTTTAAAAACAATTTGACTGGAGATAGTTACCTGCAATTTTTACAGTTGGAATTGAGGCCTGCATTAGCTGCATTATTCCCCAATGCAAATAACCCTGACCTACCAAATAATACCATTTGGTTACAACAAGAAAGTAAACTGTACAACAATCGACCCAATAATTTAGACGATCACAGGCAAAGAATTCAACATGAGGTTAGGTTAATATCGCCTCAAACTATTCAGAATGTGAGAAATAAATTTTATAATCGTCTTGGGTATTGTCAAATGGTACAGGGTCGTCAATTTGAACATTTAGTGTAAATGTAATTTAACAACTGTTATTTCTGTACTTATTTTTGTGTTTGATGATATTGTTAGAGTTTTTTCTGATTAATCAATTTAGTTTCTTTTTATACCAATGTTTGCCTCACGAAGTTATCGTTATTACTAACTTTGAATTGAGCAGATAATAAATTTCTAGTTCGATTATTCAACTATTTATATAATTTCAAAATAAAGACGAATGTGCCGTCTATAACTTTCCGTCAAACTTAGGCAACTAGATAAATTTTCCCAATTTAAAAATTTTTTGTTATTTGAACTTTAAGACTGTTTTTCTCGAGTTTTTCAAATAATAACATATTGAAAATTTTATACGGTCGGAACCGGAATAAAAACTGCTATCAAAATCAATAATAAAAAATACAGGTTGTCTTAAAAAAAAAAAATCGATGACGTCATAACATAAAAAATAAATGACATATGAAACTGAAAATAGACTGAAAATATTTGCTGAAGTTAAGATAGCTATACCCCTTCGAGATTTTTTCCAAAAAAATTAATATCAACGGAATTACAGAATTTATGCTTTACTTAATTTCCACACTGTACTATGTATCATACAATTCACAAGGAACAAAAATTGTTGACTATTTTTTTTTTTTAGTTTAATTTAAAATCAAACAACACAATTAATTGTTCTAAAAAAATAAAATATAAAGTAAGAAAAGATTTTGAAGAAGAAATATCTGCACTACATTTGTCCTCTTCGTATGACACGCTCATAAAAAAAGAAATATCATCGAAGAAAAAACTACTAAGATTATTTAGACAATTAGATGTTTTCTATTATCTGATAGACTGGCACGGCGATTTAATTTTATTAGTAGACTGTAGGGATGAAATTTGAATCATCTATTAACCTATATAAAAATTTGAGTAATCACTTTTTCGATGGGAAAATGTACTTCTGTTAATAATCTCGATAGAAGCGATTTAAATTACGATTTCTTTAATTACAACAAAAGCTTATATAGCATAATAAAATTTTACTAAAATTAAACACAGAGACTTCCATCAATATTTTCAATTTAACTAGTTCATGAGTCTAAAGCTTCGCACCAAACAGTTACTTTTGCACTATGAATAGGAGTTAGGTAAGGCCTCTGCAAATTTTCAGTTGCCCGATTACGATAAATTTGCTTACTGACATAGGTAGAAGAGTGTCTGTCATAAGGAGATGGTCCATTATATTTTCTTCATTCAAAATTTCAGATGGAGTTTGGAAAATCCCACCATTCATTGCTCATTTGCTACTGAAATTTCATATATTCTGAATCTCTTCTAACTTTCTCTCGCAATATGGTAATAATAACGTTATAGTATGGAATAAAAAAAGAAAAAGCAAGACAATTGAAGAAAATATATACGAAACGGGGATACAACTGCTCACAGTGAGTGTAATAATCTTAGGTTACAGATAAAACGAGATATAGTCATTGATTACAAAGAATATGAAAACAGTATCCAAATTAATATAACAAATAATGCAAAAAGCTTTTGATTTTTTTGTTAACTAAAAAAAAAAAAGGACAACAGCAATACCTGACACGCTAAATTAATCTCGATAATCCTTAGGAAATTGCAAATGGTTTTGCAGATTTTTTTTAAAACCGCCTATAATTTACCATCTGAAAATATGACAAAAACGAAAACTACACTAACAACCTTTATCTGGATTTTGCTAAATCTACTTCCACAGATGTTCTGTCAGCTCGGTGACAACTTAAACTTATATTTTCAAAAGATCTTGATGAAATATCTGCATTTTTTATTAGAGACTGCGCGAATGTTTCTTTGCAACCACTTAAAATAATCTTTAATCTCTCAATTAAAACAAGTACATTTCCTAACATTTGGAAGATATCTCAAATTTACTCTGTATATAAAAAGTGCTAGACATGAAATTGAAAATCATCGTCCTATTACCATTATTTGCAATTTTGCTAATGTTATGGAAATTGCTATACATAGTGCCATATATCCCCATCTTGAGGGTGTTGCTAACTTAATGTGTGTAACTCAGTACATTTCATATTCTCTTGATATCGGCATCCGGGTTGATGGACTTGACACAGATTTTTTGAATACTTTCGACAGGCTTGACTACGGTACATTGCTCTTCCTTAAATCACATCTGAACGTAATAACACAATATGTAGAGTACCGTGGTCATAGATCTTCTGATATTTTTGCAACTTTAGGTGTTCCCCAGGGTTCAATCTTGGGTCCTCCTTTTTGTATTATTTATTAATGATATCGTGGTTGGCCTGGATATTGATGTCTGATATGTTGATGATGTCAAAAAAAATTTCTGTTGTCAATACTCTAGATGACTGTCGTAGGCTTCAATGAAATCTAGAAACAATACACGATTGATGTAATCAAAACGGTATGCTCTCGTTGCTAGCAAATGTACTGTAATGCCTTTTTGTAGAAAGAAAGAAATTCTTCTTTATGATTGTAAACTATACGTTACAATGTTAAAACGGGTCGGATTCGTTAAAGATCTCGGTGTTATATTTGAAGTTAAAATTTACTTTTAATAAACATATTGAAAACACCGTTCTGTCTTTAAGTAAGGGATTTGTTATTAAAAATACGGCAGGTTTTACTGACATCCGTCTTCTCACTCTACATTTTATACTTTTGTTAAATCCATATTAGAATATGAGTCCTTAATATGGCATTCGGGATAAGACATATACCAAACTCCATGAAAGTATTCAGAGACGCCTCTTAAAGTTTTTGGCCTTTAAGATTGATGAGGTATATCCTCCTATTGGATATTCCCAAAAAGTTCTTTTAAATAGATTTACAGTAGATAGTCTAAACACCCGTATGAAGAAATAAGCACTAATATTCTTACATAAATTAATAATAAAATAAACTGTCCTGTAATAACCGAAAAATTGTTATTCCGTGTGCCACATCCCAGTGCACGATATCACTCAACTTTTTATATTCATATGCACCTCGGACAAACATTTTAAGATTCTCTGCTGTATATTTTATATGAAGTAATTTTAACTGTCTGCTAAACTTTTTGATTATTCGGTTACCCCTATAAAAAAAATAAAATTGTATTAGTGGCTTCTTGGTCAAGTGGTAAGGACACTTGCCTCTCACCCAGAAGTCCACGGTTCGATCCCGGGTCAAGGATCTAGAATTTTTTCTAAACAAGGAATTAATCCTAGTATTCTCGGACATTGGGTATGTCCATTATCTCTAAATGTGTAGCTGTTGTGGCCAGCAAACGTTTAAGTATTTATATTTTCTGTAATACTCTGTATGACAAGACAAATTCCAGTTTAGCATGCACGTGTTTTTCAAACCTATTTAAAATAAGAAAGTTTATGTTCATTATAACTCTCGACCGGACGAACCCTTATCTAATTTATTGCTGAAGACAAGTGTTCGTCTAAGTGCTGCCCTTAAGATGCTTATGACTTCTCCGAAGTAGGTACTGATTTGAAGGATACGTGTACTTTTGCCTCTTGTTGTATAGAGAACTGAATTATATATAGTAGTATTGCTAAGATTTCGGAAAGAAGCAGACGCAGGCCTTGAGCCAGATTTTAACTGTAAATTGACGCCTCCGTTTCTTAAATACTTAATCATTGTTTGAATGATATCAATTAAATTTTGAACTTGTTGCGCTGTTGCTTATTTATCGGTAGTGAAAAGAGGTGTGATTACTGAATAAAAGTTGTATAAAAAGTACGGCTTTTTATTTACCGAACTGACGTGTTGCTAAGACGGATAGTCTTAGTCGTGCGACATAACAGCAGCCCTATCCCACACAAGGTACCCTGAGGAACCTTCAGGAATACGGTGGGTTGTATTTAGTACCTGTGGTGTTTAATTTTAATTTTAATAATTATTTTCTATCGTTTTTATGTTTTTTTTTCTTCTGTATTTTACTTGAGTTCTGTTTATTTTTGCTAATATAATTACATTATAATATCTGGATATGATTAAAACTGTTTTAATCATCTCCAGATGATGCCAACTTGGTTGGCGAAACGCGCGTTGAGTGCAGTATATAGTGTTTTGATGTTTCGTGGGAAACTACGTTAGTGTTATCTTCACATCAAAGGTTTCAACACACTCTAGTTACCTTATGTTTACCGTAATTTTTATTTTAATGTAATTTTTTTGTAACAGTTCTCATCCAGTAATTGGTCATTACTCATTATGATTGTTGGATGATGTATCTAAATAAAAAAATAAATAAATATACTTCATAGCTTTTCCTCTTTTATTATCTTCTATTTTCATTGTTTAGCTGCATTCATTTTTCCTTTATTGTTTTACTACTGCCTTCATTTGATAATTCTATCTATTATTTTTTCAACAGACGCTTCTTTTATTAAATATCGTAATTTTAACAAAATATGTGTTGCGATGAAGTTATATGTTATAAACTTAAAGTTGATACTGTATAATTTAATCAACAGTTCAATGTAAATAACGATGGCTTTCATATAAGCAAATAATCCAAGTCGTGTTAAGAATCACGCTACACATATTTTATAAAAGCTGCACAACTTTGAGAAAGGAAATAAATTTCTTTCCGAAACGTTAGAGAAATATTTTATCACGATTTTGGTGTTTTATATTATTTCTCAAAAAACATCCTTATTGTTTCTTTGACGTAAATTCATAGGCGCAGAGGCTACCCAAATAACATTTGAAGTCGTTTTTTTATTAACAAATCCTGACAAATGGAAACGAGCTTCATCTGACATAAACAAATTATCTAGACCTTCATGGTAGTCGTTCAGCAATGCAATAAATTGACGACAAAGTGTAACACGTGCCACATAGTTTAGAGCTTGTAATTCTTGCATTATCTGGATTTTATACGAATGATAATTTAAACTTTTACGCCAAATTACACGTAAGGTTATCTTTGATATTATCAGTGCTATTGAATGCCTCAAATAGTTACAGGCTTCCTCTTGGTTTAGATTTTAATGCCGATCCAGTTCTTCGAATATAGTTTTGGTTTTAATCTTCTCCAGATGATGCCAATTTGGTTGGCGAAACGCGCGTTGAATGCAGTATGTGGTGTTTTTGTGTTTCATGTAAAACTATATCTGTGTTTTCTTCGAATATGGAAAATCCGCATTTTTATTACGGTTCAATGTGCGACAGGATCATGGCACCTTAATTTGAAATAACATCTTAATTGGCGCTGAACAGGAACTATAGACTCGTTATTCAGGACAAATGATTCAATGACAAACCCACATTGTTTACCTGACTATTGATGATCCATTTTTGAAAAATGTCATAGGTAATAAATAAAAATGGCGTTCCTTGGATAAAAAATCAAAATCGTTTCCATAGCAACAACTTGGAAGAAATAGTAGATGTTACGCAGACATGGCAGAATTGTATAACACCAGTTTAAAGTAGTGCTAACTTTTAGGTAACTTTTAAGTAATATAGAATCATCGTTGCTATTATCAGTTGTTGCTTTGGAGTACTAGAAACTTTAAAGCAATTATCCTCAGTAACCGTGCTGGTCCAAATACTTTTTAAAGGCTACTTAGAAGTTATAAAACTATTCAGTACATACACCAATAAAACTATGTAGTTATTACTATTAAGTTGTAATTGAATACTTTCAATTTCATACTGCAATGTCATAGATTTAGTTACGTAACAATTACTCAGTAGAAGTCCAAGCTCAGTTTCTGCGATTTTGATGCTGTTGGGCTATTCTTCCAGAATTATACTAAATAATAATTGTATTTTTTAGATATTAAATCGGAGAAGAATTATTCGTGGCAGTAAGACCCAAAAAGGAACAAAATCAGAGAATGGCCACAAACAACATTCGAATACTACTTTTCTCCATTTCTTTGTAGACAGGCACTGTTAATGGAATTATTGATATTGATGATACCGATATTGAATTACCGATAATTAAATTAGTTATAAATTATTATTCTATTAAACTGAGACAAAATGTTTATTGAGGGTTAGCTCAATGTCTATGTATATTTATGTCTGTCTATGATGGTATCTGAAGGTACGATAACTATTGCCTCTAGTGGTTGTGTAAAATGCCATAGTAGATTTTTATTTATACTTTTGTCTACAAGCGAATATAACTTAATAATATATCGTTCTACGAAAAATAAAATTTATAAGATAATATTAATCATAACCCGGTCTTGACATATTTTCAACAAATTTAATATATGGAGTATAACATAGCAATAAATTAAATTTATCGAGGAAAGAGAAATATTTGTCAAATTAGTAGCAATGTATTAAATTTCACTTCTGAGGATGTTAGTTTTGTCCGTCTTTTTTGTACAGACGAGAAAATATGTGAACGCAGAAGTGACAGTCTGCTAGAACTAAATTAAAAGTCTCAAAATACCTGCTTTCACGGCTTTGATGTGAGTTACATATTCATATTAAAAACACCATAACGGCAGTAACTGCAACAATTTGATGAAATTTATTAAGTTAAAGTTAAAACTTATATACTATAGAACATGTTATTCTGTTGATTGTTGGATGAAAACGAAATTGTAATGTTAGACAATTAAATTAATTAAGTTTAAGAGCTACACATAAACAGATCAAAGTATGATTGATGAGTAGCAGAGATTATAATAAATATGCATTTAAATCAATCCAATTTATTAACTGCGTTGTATGTAAACTTACAAATGGTTGTAAGTGAGATTTAAATAAATCAGTAAATTGTGGACAAACTTAAGCTTTTTTTTCTGAAATCTCTCAAGAATGTCTACTTTCTCGGCGCAATTTCAGATCTCAAAATACGCTATTCTAGTATTTTAGTTGTTGTTAAGCAACCATCATAAAACAGTACGAGAAAGTTACATTTCCGACCTAAGTCGGGAAAGTAACTCCGGTACAGGTTTTTCATATATATTTTAAACAGTAAATAAATACACGCAGACAATTAAAAATGCATTTTTAGTAAAAACTAAAACATTAAATTTATAGTCACATTTTTTGCAGTTGTTACTAACTCTGATGTTATCCCAAACACCTGGACATCATCATCACTATCCAATGGCTAACAAAATAAATATTTTTATAAAAATTTTTTTAGATAATTTATTCTTTTATTTTACAAAAAGAAAAATGTTTTATACTATTCACTGTGAAGAAACGTTCAGACGCATTCTAAAAAATTTTGATCGGCCCCCTCCCTGGAAATTTTGCAGGCGACGCCCACGGAAAATAGCGTTAAAAATGGAGAGCTACATTTCTGCTATAAATTAAAAAATATAAATTATTCTCCAACCTATGTCGATATAATTACAGTGAGTGATTTACAATAGACATAATGAATACATAATTTTTTTTGCTCCGTCGTTTTAAGATATTTGCACTTAAAGTAAGGGGTCAATGCATTTGAACCGTATATTAGATGAAATACATGTCAATAATATTAATCCCGATTAAAGAATAAATGTTTACATTATATCCATTTGTTATTCTAATAGAAACATAATACAAAAGACGTCTTCTCTAAAGCCAACGAGCTTCAACCAACGAAGAATAAGTTTAAATTAATAAAAAGTTATTTCAGGCAACAATGGATAAATGATAGCATTTCAAGAGCCTTGCAATTTAAGCAATGATGCCGATGAAATGTATTTGTTAGGATGTCATATGTTTATATTTCGTGTAAGACCTTAGATTTTATAATATCGGGTGTCTCATAATAAATTTTCTTTTTCGAATTGGATAACTAGGCAACCGTTGTAGGGGGTGAGATCAGATTGCCTGAATTTGGGTAGGAGATAGATGCGAATTTCTAGTTAGTGACAATTGAGCTTGCATTGTTCATAGAGGCCTTCTTTAGGACCAGCAATTCATACATAGTTGCAAGGCATCAACCATCAATCAAAAACCACAAGATAGGAACTATCGGAAGCAGACTATAACCACTCCTTAAAATGTTGTAGCTGTACACGTGGTCCAACGTTAGCGCCTCTCGAGCTTGAAATACTCCCCAAATCCTAGCTCGCAGTCTGTGAATTTCTTCAAGACTGTTCTCATAATTCCGTAAATAAATTTGCAGTAACCTTATCAACTGAACCTTATAAGGTTAGAGCCTTATAAGGTTCAGTTAATCTTAGCAATAACATCTTAAACAGGCAAAAC